AAATCACTTCAGCAGTACTTAAAATCACTATAGCAGTAAACGAATCACTATAGCAGTAGACGAATCACTTCAGCAGTAGACGAATCACTTCAGCAGTAGGTGAAATCACTTCAGCAGTAAGTGAAATCACTATAGCAGTAGGTGAAATCACTATAGCAGTAGGTGAAATCACTTCAGCAGTACTTAAAATCACTATAGCAGTAGGTGAAATCATCAAATGACTAGCTTTAACATATACGATGTTACAGTAAATTTCGGGGAAAGAACCTAAATATACCATGGAATTATTTATGTTGGTTCTTCAATTAAACAAGGTTATTTCTACGTAACGTACCAATTTATAACTTACCAAAATATATTTCATAAAAATGTAGACCTATATAAATAAGAAATTCCAAGAAAAACTTTGTTCCACCGTATTTTTGTAATGTGTGCAATAGAGGGCGTTAGAGCGTTTTTATATAAACTGTTTACAGAAAGCCGTGGTAGATAAATCACAGAAGTGTTTGTATGTTAATTTACTTGTTTTTTCAATAATTTTATATGTGACTCAACATTTCATCTGAGTCTTCTCAGTTTGCTTGTTTTCCTCCATGAGTGAAAATAATAATGATAACTTTTACATTTACAGCCTTAGATATCTGATGATATACTAAAATAATCAGAGATTAACTAAAAGCTTTTTAAAAAGTTGTGCAAAATAAACAAAATAGTATCTGTCGTTATCGCTATTATCCACGAACCTTATCCTAGCTGAGGTTTGTTTCGGTTTTTCTGTTAGCTATATTACTCATATAGCTTATCCTAGCTGTGGTTTGTTTCGGTTTTTCTGTTAGCTATATTACCCACGAACCTTATCCTAGCTGTGGTTTGTTTCGGTTTTTCTGTTAGCTATATTACCCACGAACCTTATCCTAGCTGAGGTTAGTTTCAATTTCTCTGTTAGCTATTACTCACGAACCTTATGGTAGCTTAAGTCTGTTTCAATCTCTCTGTTAGCTATATTACTCAGGAACCTAATACTAGCTTAAGTCTGTTTCAATCTCTCTGTTAGCTATACTACTCACAAACATAATGCTCGCTTAAATCTGTTTCAATTTCACTGTTAGGTTATAAATTTTAACTCGAAATATGAAGAGAAAGAAGACAGTGAAATAGGATTTTCTCTTTTCCATGTATTGAAACAAAATATTACAACCGTTTCTCAATTCTACAGTAAATATTATTTGTTTCTATAAGCACAAAGCTGCACAGTGAGTTATCTCCGCTCTTCCCACCACAAAGATCGAACCCTGAATTTAGCGTTGTAAATCCTCAAACTTACCGCTGAGCCATGGAGAAGAGGCTGTATTACTTACCGTTTTGAATGATGTCCTTTGTTTGTTTGTAATTTTCATGCCCGTAATGTCGTTCTCTAAGTTCACCATTCTGTAGTTGATCATCTCGCATCCTACATATAGAGAGAGCACTAGTGTACGAGTCTTATACCTCACACATTCATGTTCTTTAAACTATAAGTGGAAACTACTACAGAGTGATACTCACACATTCCTGTTCTTTAAACTATAAATGGAAATTACAGAGTGATATTCACACATTCCTGTTCTTTAAACTATAAGTGGAAACTACTACAGAGTGATACTCACACATTCCTGTTCTTTAAACTATAAATGGAAATTACAGAGCGATATTCACACATTCCTGTTCTTTAAACTATAAATGGAAATTACAGAGTGATATTTACACATTCCTGTTCTTTAAACTATAAATGGGAACTACAAAGTGATATTCACACATTCCTGTTCTTTAAACTATAAATGGAAATTACAGAGTGATATTTACACATTCCTGTTCTTTAAACTATAAATGGAAAATACCATGATATTTACAATTCCTGTTCTTTAAAATATAACTGGAAACTACAAAGTGATATTTACACATTCCTGTTCTTTAAACTATAAATGGAAATTACAGAGTGATATTTACACATTCCTGTTCTTTAAACTATAAATGGGAACTACAAAGTGATGTTCACACATTCCTGTTCTTTAAACTATAAATGGAAAATAGCAGAGTGATACTCAATTATCATATCAAGCCTATCTGTAAATGAAATGACTGCAAGAATCATCCGTTCTGAACAGATCCTCACAGTATCCTACACACACTATTCATATTACTAATCTTGTAGTTCTCAAAAAAAACAGAAACAATGCTAGTTTGTGAGAAAAGCGATTTAGGTTTGCCGTATAATACGGCTTTGAAACCAGTTAGGCTATAACCAGACTTTCTTGAATAAAACATACGTTTCTCAGTGTGTCTCCGATGAAATTATCTTCCCAAGAATCTACTTAAAGCAGTTATTCCCCTGTGTGGGGAATATTTTAAGATTATCTAGACAGTTTGTAAAACTAGAGGGACTTCGCTTGTGTAACGTGTACGTGTTAAGATTCTTTTAATGTATATATATTTCGTAACTATTATTTATGTATAAATTTGTAATTAATGGTACATCTGTTTACAGATATTGAATATAAACAATTTGTTTATAAGCTGACTGTTGAGTTTGAGCAAACACTTTGGGAACACAAAGTTTTACAACTTAGTACAACAATATACGTTTTCCATTACGAGCTCTTCTTTCCGCCATCCAAATTATCAATAAATGTGATTGAAAACACGACTCTGAAACAAACATGAAAATAGTTATTTTTGTATCTAAGTGTTCTGTTTTTGATGACAATGACCTTTGACCAATTCTAATTCATCATGGGTTTCCTATTCATCACACTCATTGGTGGTATCTAAGCCCCATGATCTGTCGAGTACGCCTGAAACAACAGTACATTAGGTTAAAGCTTTAAACCACCGAGGGTGGCGCTGCAATCTTTCTTGGTGTCAGTGGAATGATTAATGCGTTCGATGAATAAAATTCCTTTTTTTTGTTTTCAGTCGAGCGCTAGCTGCAATCCATCATTCTGCCAGTTTAAATTAACTCATGGACTGATAAAAATTTGCCAGGATCGTCTCGTAAACCAACCACGCAATCACTTTTGTAAACTTGTAGGCCTATCCTTTACACTAGAAATGACCAAGCATTAAAAGGATGTTTGTTTTTTTCATGTTTTCTTAGATCTTGCACATTTACGGCGTTTTAGCATTGGTTTGGTGCATTATATGAGTAGTGAAATAGTAGTCTGGGTATGTTTCCTTTAAAAGAAGAAGAAGAAGACATTTAACAAGTAACTGTTAACAACAGTTAATGTATATACATATTAGAAGGCGTGTAAGTGAAACGACGAACTGGATATAAAGTCACGAAGATGAAGATATCTCACAACTGACATATTTAAACTCAGTATAGATATATCTTATTTATCCTGAGAAGATTCAGGTTGTGACAACAGTTAAACACTTTCTACATAGATAAGGCTAAGCTCTTATTGTTTCAAGAACTAAAGTATTCACCGAGAAAACTACACGAGAACCCTCTTGAGGCGTTTCGTGCAACTTGTTTGTTTTAACTCAAACATTTATTACACTTTGTCATGCGCAAAGAAACTTAGTAGGTAAGTTATTAAGGGGAAAGTAACCATTCTTACTAACATAACAAATCTTGGTTTAGGGGCAGTCTCAATTTAACACAAATCTTGGTTTATCGACAGTCTAAATTTAACACAAATCTTGGTTTAGGGGCAGTCTGAATTTAACACAAATCTTGGTTTATAGACAGTCTGAATTTAGCAAAAATCTTGGTTTATAGACAGTCTGAATTTAACACAAAACTTGGTTTATAGACAGTCTGAATTTAACACAAATCTTGGTTTATAGACAGTCTGAATTTAACACAAAACTTGGTTTATTGACAGTTTGAAATTATATTTCTATTTTGGAATTCCACTTTACGTTCGCAATTATGTTTTGTTTTATTTTGTTTTAATTTAGAAACAATTAATTTAATTGTTCTTGCCTTTCTAAGTCATTCAAATCGTTTATTAACTTTAAGTTTATTTTTGAAGAAGTCAACGTGTTTATAGATTCTTAAATTATATTTCAACTTTATATTTTTCAGTTTCTCCCCACCTCGCCATGTCAAAGTATAACTTGTCAATCTACAGAACACAGCGCTTCAATAATTACTAAACCAAAATTTCTCCGTTTGTATTTCTTACTCTTTCCGTCAAATGGAATATTCTGCCCCCGAGCGTGATTTGTTTTTATAATATATGATATCTTTAATCTGGATTTTGACACAATGCTCTAAGTTTTAATCATGTGGCGCCGATATCTTAACTTCCAATCATACCAGAATGTATCCATATTCCAGTAACAATGAACTCAAAAAATAAAGTCACAGAACTGTTTCAAATATCTCTATGTCTGCACTTTTTTTAGTATGTAGCTAGTCAGCTTAAAATCGAGGAAGGAAGAGGAAGGAAACGTTTAAAATTAATTACAATTCTACACCTTTCTGTAACGACACTCGAAGCCATTCTGCGTTGACTCACTATAAGGTTTCTTTAATCTTTCCATCATAATTACTCAGATATTTTTTATGTCTAATTCACTCACTGATCTAAGTTAAATAATGTTCAAGTTACTCTTATTTGGAAGAGATGTTAAATATTTCTTACTTTGGTTTTAGTAACGAACTGGATTGTTTAGATCAGTTAATATTACTATTACAATGTTATATAGATAGATAGATATATACGGTGTCCGGAAAGTATGTTATTCAGTGTACTTCTGAGTGTGTTTGTAAACAAATAATCAATTTTTGTACATAATATATATAGATGTAATGTAGGCCATCCTTTCAAAATGATTTTAGTAACTTGAAAAATTATAAATAACTCGATAAATGTAAACTGTAAATACGAAATAAGTTTGGCACACAAAGATACAAACTGTAAAATTTCAGATAGTTTTAAATCCACCGCTTTGTTTAAATACCAAAAAATAAAAAGTCACGAGAGAAATAAAAAGAAAATGATTTGTAGTTAATGAGCAGAAGTTGTAGTGTAATTAGGAGCTTTCATAACCTTAAGTATCACGAACATAAACTATCAACTATTATACTAGAACACATAAAAATGTAAATTTCTCCATCTTTAAGAAAAGGGGGAAATATTACACAACTTTGGGGTATTCCTCTCAAAACACACTCCTGCGCATCTTTTATTGGAGACCAGTCAACGTGGGTTTATGCTTCAAACGTAACATAAAAGTATTAGTTCGTAACTACTGTAATCTTCAGGTAAATATTAAAAATTGGTGTTTTTTTTTCTTGGTTTTCATCTTTTTTTTTTATATCTTGTACTGCGCATTCTAAGAAAATTTAAAAACGGCTGGATGGTTCGAAAATTATTATAAATTTAGCGTAATGTTTCCGCTATTCTATTTTCATGTAATTAATAACTTAGGATAAGGATAAAAAAAACTATAACTAATACACGTACCTGTTTGTGACGTAATCATCCGTAACCTGCCGGGATCTTTCATTGACGCTAATACCCTCGTTTCGATGAGTTTGGGTGTGACTAGGTGCTGTTAGTCCTAAAGTACTAGTCACTGGAATCATGCTATGATGAGACACCTGGTGGTTTAACGCAATGAAGGGCAAAGGGTTGATGTGAGAGGGCGCTCCAGTTGCCGCTGCTGCAGCAGCTGCAGCTGCCGCCGCTTGCGCCACCATGTGGTTGTAGCCATTATGTAGAAATGACACTTTATCCAAACGGTCCCCTACAAGATATTTAAAGGAGGAAATTGGTGTAATTAAATTCATTGCTATAGATATGAACATTAATGATTATTGGTAATTGTAGCCACCACGGTCCATACATTGTTGGATTTAATTGTTGAAACAAAAAGTTCTGCATATTTATTTCCATTATCTCTCCTTAATAGAACGTTGAATTATTACTAGAGGGGTGTTATTGCCTAATACGAACAACAAACATATTCTATTTTCTTCATCAAAGGTTCTCAAACGTTTTAACCTCTGAAAGTAAACAATTCCACAAACTCAACTAACCGGGTAGCTAAAAGTCAACAAGAAATAAGTACTATTTTAGAATAATCCATAATAATAGAGTTCCACAAATACAGTTTATTTTAAAACTATTTTAAATCCTGCAAAATAGTAAAAATAAAAAAAGAATAACATTTCCTTCGACAATGTTTAGGCCCGACATGGCCAAGTGGTTAGAGCGCTCGAGTCGCCATCTGCGGGTCGCGGGTTCGAATACTCGTCACACCAAACATGCTCACCCTTTCAGTCGTGAGGGCGTTATAATGTGACGGTCAATCCCACTATTCGTTGGTAAAAGAGTAGCCTAAGAGTTGGCGGTGGGTGGTGACGACTAGCTGCTTTCCCTCTAGTTTTACACTGCTAAAGTAGGGACGGCTAATGCAGATAGCCCTCGTGTAGCTTTGTGCGAAATTCATAACAAATAAACAGCAGTGTTTGTTGCATCTTCTCAATTCCTTCGCTAACCCTAGTTTTAGTTTCAAACTCATTACTACAACGTGCTGTTACCTGATCAGTATATTTACTTGATGAAAAATCTATGTACTGTAATTTAAAAATCTTAGTTCTCAGGAAACGTGAATCCCCCATTATCATCAACTCCACATCTATATTGTAATAAGTTGTACGCACGTAGAATCTTAAGCGTTGTTGTTAAACTGTCCTCCTCTTTCTTTTGTTTTATTAATATTCTTGTTCAACGAACTGTTATATTTTATGTATTCATCTCCTTAAATCGAAATCTAATTAAAGGGAAAGACCGAAGTAAATTAGAAAAAAAAAAGAATATTTAACAAACAAGACGATTAATTAATCACGCATATTTACAACGGACAAACCACTATGGCTTTGTTCTGGGTTTTAAGGTAAGGATATTTTTTTATCTTTTTACTATTTTATCTATTGTAACAAACAATGATAAATCGTGTTACAGGCCCATTTGTTACGGTTAAAATATGACAGGTGACTTAAACTTTTAAGTTGTTATAAGACAACATAATAACTCGATTGTATAGAAATCAAACTTTGATTTAGTTCATCTCTTTAGGTCCGTCTTCTACACTCATTCAGAAACAGCCGAAAATTAAAAATATATTTATTAGCAAAAATATAACAATGTTTTGACAAAGCACCATTGACTGCACTTGTTTATAAGAAAGATCAAGGACACCGAACATCTGAAACAATGAATTCACGAAGAGTGTCGGACCATTGACAATGACACGAATATGGTTCGCAATGTTCAAAGAGAATGGAAACACTGTAACCAAACTTGTTTCCAATTACAAGGACAGCATGTGCAACACATCCTGTAAAATTCGTTGAAGTGTCTATGGTTCCAGTATTTTTGGACACCCTGTAGTTCTGAGATCATCATAGTAGTTTACAATATGCTGAGTTGTATAGCTTTGTTTTCATTTTTGGCCTTAGTTCTTATTGGTAGTTTCAATATGAACGATGCATGGACGAACAAACGGATAGGTCACAGAGACAACTAATTAGCATCACTCGCAGTGTTTGTCTAACTTCGATTCAAATAATGGGATTGTTTGTCACTTATAACAAACCCACAGTTGACAGAGGGAAGTGTTACAGCACCATCGCTGTACGAACCTTGGCTCACCGATCCGCAGCACAACACGCTAACCACTAGGACACGCGTGGACCTTAGAAAAAGTGAAATAACATAACCAGAACATTCTGACGAGAATAACTAGTTTCTCAAAAAGCCAATTTTTAAAAAGAAAATGATGTTGGTTTTTAATCCAATATATGCTAATTTTGAACATTATTATATCACAATAGTGCCGTCGTGTAAGATGAATGAATTAATTATTTAGCAAAATTATTCGGAACGTTGTAGTCTTTTAAAGAGAGACAATGTCCTTGTATAGAAAAACAAGGAACTTTGGAAAACTGATTTATTTATTTATCTTTATTTAAAAACCACAAACTGAAAATCCGGCACTGATGGAGAAGCAAAGATGAAAATCAAATCTATTATTATTTAGTTCCACCGGTAGGTGTCAGTGGTAAATTCTGGAGTTCGACTTCCCTCTGTGGATAGAGCTTTGTGTTAAAAGAAAAACAAAAATGTATTGAGAGGATTGAAAAGATCAATTATTCTTACTTGAATGAAGTATTTACATTAGATACATTTACAAAATTCACAGTGTTAAAGAAAAAAATATTTACCCTAATTCTGATGCGTTGTGACTTAATAAAATTAATCTTTACCCTAATTCTGATGCGTTGTGACTTAATAAAATTAATCTTTATCCTAATTCTGATGCGTTGTGACTTAATAAAATTAATTTAAAATGACATTTTACCAACGTAATAGTTGTTGTTAAGCGATTTTCTAATATAAATGGCGTTTCAACCATTACTGTGTCTGTGGTATCATAGCCGCCGGCAGGATGAGTCCTGACATCGGAAAAAAGGCCTCATCGATACGGGATAAAACCGTTATAGTACAGCGACTGACATACAGTTATGTACTTTTTTTTATTTACACTTGGAAATTGTTATTAATAATTACATAACCGTACATCATGCGAATTCCAATACAGAAACAAGTCCACTAAAAGCTCGACTCTGCAAATAAACCAGCAGGATGATAACAATTTCAAGCTGCCTTCACCAATTTTATCAAAAAGTTACTTTTGGTGTGTCTTTCACCAATGTAGAAAAATCGTTTGTTTCAGTGAATGAGACGCTTTTTTTCAGATTTGTTTGTTTCCAAACTCTAGGTGAGGTCATACAAGGACTTTATGCGCATAATCTAATTTGTTTTTCCGAAATGAAATGATGGCATAAAAGTTATTATCGCCCCCATAGTATAAAAAAAATTAAACTTTAAGTTATTATAAAACGGAACAAAAGAGAATGAACAATATGTATGTTTCTGTAACAAACACACACTTAGGGTACATTAAAGGTTAGCCGTCAGTTTCAACTCACCAAAGGAATGAAACTTATGTAACAAACACACTTAGGGTACATTAAAGGTTAGCCGTCGGTTTCAACTCACCAAAGGAATGAAACTTATGTAACAAACACACTTAGGGTACATTAAAGGTTAGCCGTCGGTTTCAACTCACCAAAGGAATGAAACTTATGTAACAAACACACTTAGGGTACATTAAAGGTTAGCCGTCGGTTTCAACTCACCAAAGGAATGAAACTTATGTAACAAACACACTTAGGGTACATTAAAGGTTAACTGTCGGTTTCAACTCACCAAAAGAATGAAACTTATTCTTTTAGTGGACTTCAACGTAGTCCACCAAAGGGGAAGTTTACACTTAACAGAAGTAAGCACAAGTCAAGCAGTTATCGAAGCTTTAACTTCCAAAGTTATGGGGCCTGGTGATTAGGGCACTCGACAATGTGAGAGTCACACGTTCGAATCCTTGTCACACCGAACATGCTCGCCTTTTCAGTCGTGGGAGCGTTATAATGTGAAGGTAAAAGAGTCGCCCAAGAATTGGCGGTGGATGGTGATGACTAGTTACCTTCCCTCTAGTCTATCACTGCTAAATTATGGACGGCTAGCGTAGATAGCCCTCCTGTAGATTTGCGCGAAATTCAAAACAAACCAAAGTTAATAGATATATATATAAAATAAATACAATACTGAACATTGTATATCAACGCAGTACCAGTAAGTGTAAGTTGACGATTTGATGTAAAAAGGCATTCTGTATACTTTAACTTAAAAGTAAATGGCAAACTGTTAAAAACGGAACGAAAAAAAATACACCACAACAATACGTTTCGCAGCTGTTAACATGGCATCATCCTGGTTTTATCTGTTTAATCATTTTGAAATTATCCACTATGTTACTGCACAAATAACAGTAGCGTTTGAAATGTCATATAATCTACAACAAAC